TTTTCATGATGCTTGACCAAACTCCCAAATGTATTAATTTAAGGGTAAACTACTTGAATGACCACTCATGGTTTGGTGTCAATGCAACCATCTTTTTAAAAATTTTGTCAATATGACCACTTAACTAATTAATTGGGTTCAATATAGCCACATGACGTTATCATGTAACAAAAATATTTAAGTGGCAGTTAATAAAATTAATATAATTACATATTTGATCCTCGATATTTGTAAATTCTATCAATTTAGTCATAATTTTCATTTTATTCTTTTGGCTACCAACCAAATGGTGACACGTGTTATTAAATTATAAAATACGACAAAATAAGGGAGTTAAGAGGATTTGAAATCAGGATCAGGGAATACAATCATGTACATAACCACTAAGCCAATATCCACGTTTAGGTTGTGTTTTACAGCATAATGCATATATTTTATAAACTAATTAATGCTAGAAAATAAAAGAAATGAAATTGCATATGGAGGGATTGAACCTAGGCCACATGACAAACTAGAAAGCTCCAAATCACTAAACCAAACCTTACGCTCGAATAATATTTTGATAGATTTTATATATACATTTAACACTTATTTATACAATATTTACAGAAAATTAAATTTAAAATTTATATGTTTTTAAAATAAATTTAAGATTTTCTTTTTCACATTTGTAATTTAATGATTATATATAATCTTAAATTGAGTTTTTTAGTTTGATTAATAATTTTATTTTTATTAAAAAATAAAATATGTAATTTAAGTTATAAAAATTGATGACTTTAAATTACACATTTCAAACTACACAATATAATAAAAAATTAGCTAAAATATAAATGATTCATACATTTTATTTTTTTAATAAAATAAAGTCATTAATTAAATTAAAAAACTCAATTTAATATTATATATAATCATTGAATTATTAGTGTGAAAAATAAAATATTAAAATTATTTTAAAAATATATAAATTTTATATTTAATTTTCTTTTAATATTGTATAAACCAATATTAAATGAATATATAAAATATATGTCCTAGGTTCAAATCCCTCCATAGACATTTTCATTTCTTTTATTTTATAGCATTAACTAGTTTATATATATATATATATATATATACGGTAAAACACAACCCAAATGTGGAGGTTGGATCAGTGGTTATGTGCTCGAGCTTTCCTTGTTCTACCTTTCCTTGTAATTTAAATATATATATTATAGTGACAATATCTAATTGGAAGATAAATAATTAAATTAAATAAATTTAAATTATAAAAATATTATTTAATCTAATAGTAACACATGTCATCATCTGATTAGATGATTAAATATGTTGAATTAAATTAAAATTATGATCAAATTTATAGAATTTACAAGTATTAAGGATCAAATATGTAATTATATCAATTTTGTTAACTGACATGTAAGTTATTGAACTATATTTTGATATAACAATTAAGGCAAAATGTTTTTGGACTTGAATTGAATTTATTCAAAAGTTTTTCAAAGTTTTCAAAAATAATTCAAAGTCCTTAAAACTTAGAATTGAGCACAAATGATTTTTCTGGACAAGTAGTACCGATATTGTTCTTACAGTATCGATACCTAATGTACAGTACTGATACCAAAGGTAAGGAAAATATCGATACTCAATAGGTAGTATCGATACTACCAGCAATGTTCAAATTCAAAAATGCAAAAATGGTACCGATACCCAAAGGGGTATCGATACTACTCTGATAGTAGTACTGATACCATTGACATAGTATCAATACCATCAGGTCTCAACGGCTAGTTGATTTAAATATAAAAAGGTAATACCAATACTTCCTTTAGGAGTACTGATACCTCTTATTCTGGACAACTTTATTTTTCACAAAAATTGATCCCCAACAGCTCCAAACCACCTCCAACGGCTAAAAACGACCACAACAACATTCCAACATATAAATACAAGTTGAGAACACTTGAAGAAGGGTGAGAACACCTGTCCAAGCAATCAAACACAAGACAAGAGTTTTCCAATCTTATTTTCTATATCTCTTGTAAATATTTGTTCTTGTGAGCTAAATTTTGTAAACACCTTCCTTTTTAGAGGTTTTATTTGTTTACATTCTTTTTCCTTGTAAAGGGTTTTTTATTCTAGCTGAGCCTATTAAAAGCTAGGGAGTTGTGTAAAGGTTATCTCTTGATCCCTTAAAAAGAAAGAACAAATTAATGAATTTGTTAGAAAATACTTGGTGAGGAGCTAAGGTAGTGGATGTAGACTTGGTTGATAAGTCAAAACACTATAAATACTTGTGCTAAATTTTTTCTATCTTTTGTTCTCCTTACTCCCTAATCAAATTATTAGCCAATTCAACCCCTTACAATTTTTTCGGTTGTCAATTTGAGCCTCTTCAATTCCCAACATGTAAGCACTTCCGCTAAATGTTAACGACATGTACTAATATTGAGCCCAATTAACTAGTTAAGTGATCATATTGATGAAATTTTAAAAAATTATGGTCATTCCGACACCAACCCTATAATTAGGTGGTGATTCAAGTAGTTTACCCTTAATTTAGTTTACCCTTAATTTAATTAAACATATTACTGATCAAGCCAAACTCGGTTACCAACAACCAATTGGTCTAGTGGGATGAGACATTAGATCCCTTAAGCAAAGCCAGGAGTTTGAATCCTTACGATTGCGAATGGAGTAAACTGGGGTGAGATGGTTGCCCTTGCTTCTGAAGCATTGGATTTGGATTAATCAATCAATAGAACGAAGGTATGTTGTTATATAAAAAAAAGCAGGCAAACTTGGCTTAAAATTAAACCATGCCCACTTGGTGGCGGCTTAGCAAATCACTTACTTCACAATTGAATAATTACTATAATAAAACTATGATTATCATTAAAAGATATCAACCTTCACATGAACATCTCTCAAATGTCACATATCGTTACAAAGTTGTTAGAATCAAATAAAATATTATTTATTCGATTGTAATGTTGAAAATATCTCTTGATATTTGATTGAATGATATTTTGATTTTAATTTTTTAAAATATTTTAAATATTAATGTTTTATTTTAATTAACCATATCATATCAATAATAATCACTAATTAGTAATTAATTAAGTCTTTTTATAAAAAAATAACTATTAAAAGTTGAAGTACTTAATAAGAAAGTTGGTAGAATTTCAATGAAAAGGATTCGATAGTTTAACTAGAAATGTATATTTAAAGTGGATAAATTAAATAAGTAAAGAAATATTTTTTTATAAATACTTTAATTGATATAATTATTTTTTCATTCATAGACTAAATGAGTTTGACATTTTCATGTTTTTATCAACTGTGTTATTTGATTTGTAGCACTAATTAAATCAATGATTTATATATATTATAAATATAGATGAGTAAAGAATATAAGTACAAAATATATAAATCTTATAAAAAATCAGTATTTGACATAAAAACAACTTTATTAATGTTCAATTGTTTCTTAATTTCATAAGGGTAAACTACACGGGTGATCACCCAACTATTGTCAAAAATCAATTTGACCACCGAAGTTTCGATTGAATTAATTAGACCACCCAATTATTTAAATTGTTCAATCAAGTCACCCGCCGTTAGTTTTTAACAAAGATGGTGACGTGTTCGTTAATAAGAATGACATAATTATACATTTGGTCTTTAATATTTATAAGTCCTATCAATTTGGATATAAATTATTTTAATTAAAATAAATTTAATCTCCAATTAAATGGTGACACATGTCATTACCTAGTTGGAGCATATTTTCTTAATTTTTTATTTATGTAAAATATTTGTATTTCTACCAATAAGGTGGTGACACGTGTCATCATCTTATTAAAGTGAGAAAATAATGAGTGAAAGTGCGCTTGGATGGAATCAAACTTAGGTCACCCGTTTAGCCAAGGTCACGCCTAAACCACCTCACCAAGTCTCCCTTTTAGTTCCGAATCACAACATGTTTTATATATTTATTTCATTTACTGACAGAAAAAAAGAAGAAATAAAAATGCAAATTGGGATAGAGGATTAAATTTAATATACAAAATTATAATTTAATATTTTATATAGATATTAAATTATAATTAATAAATAAAATAAATAATTATTTATTCAATTAAAAAAATTTTAAATATAAAAAATTCTAAATTATAATTAATAAATAAGTCAATAATTATTTATTTGATTAAAAATTTTAAATATAAAAAACTGTAAATTATAATTATTTATTCGACTAAAAAATTCTTAATTTTATTAATTTACAATTTTTATATTTTAAATTTTTAATCGATTAAATAATTATTGATTTTATTTATTAATTATAATTTAATAGCAATATACATTATTAAATTATAATTAATAAATAAAAATTAAAGATTATTTTTTATTAATAGAAGTTATGAATTATTTCTTTCATTAATAAAAATTAAAAACAATAAAAAAATTTGTAAAATATATTCAAATATGTGATTGAACTTTAATTTAATCATTTATCCCAATTTGCATAAGTAAATTATATTCAAACACGTGTCACCACCTTATTAGTAGAAAAATAAATATATTACATAAGAATTAAGAAAATATGCTCCAACTAGGTAATGACATGTGTCACAATTTCATTGGAGATTAAATTTATTTTAATTAAAATAATTTATATCCAAATTGATATGAATTATAAATATTAAGGATCAAATGTATAATTATGTCATTTTTATTAACGAACACGTCACCATATGTGTTAAAAACTAACGACAGGTAGCTTAATTGAACTATTTAAATAGTTGGGTGATCTGATTGATTCAATCGAAACTTCGATGATCAAAATGATTTTTGACCATAGTTGAGTGGTCACCGATGTAGTTTACCCATTTCGTAAATGTTAAAGAATTTAAAGTTTTTTTTTATTATATATGGTTTTGAATTACAAAAGGTTAAGGATACGATACTAAAAGTAGAAAATAATAATAATTTAACAAAATTGACCCCTATGAACTCAAAGCTCTATAACTATAATATCTAGACAGTCCATTTGAATTCTCACAGTTCCCACAATTTTCACTTCTTTGAAAACCTAATTGCCAACACAAACAGACCGGCTCAGGCTTTGCCACCACCATAGCTTCTCCGGCGAACCGGAACTCGTTGTCGAAATCTACCTTCCGTTTTGACTCGGCCGAGCAGGCCGAGTTCTTTCCAACTGACCTAGTCCCAATCGAAAGCTCCAAATTTAACTCGTGCCGTTGTTCTTCAGCTGTACTCGCGCCACTGCGAGTACAGTTGGACTCGGACTTGACCTTCACTCGGAACTCGCCGTATTTGAAATCCAGAGGTATGGGTGTGACGGAAATGGTTTTGGCAACCGTGGGCGCGTTTCTAAAATCCAATTCGGTGGGTGCGGTGGGGTTGGCTTTGGCGGCGCCGCTTTTATTGGAGGTTTCGTTGAGAGGACGATGCGTTTGGGGATCGATTCCTTCACTCACAAGCTTTCTTTTGATGTGTGTGTTCCAGTAGTTCTTGATCTCGTTATCTGTTCTTCCCGGTAATCTCCCGGCAATCAAAGACCATCTGCGAATAGAATAATAGATTCATTAACTCCAAAAAAAAAGATGCAAATATATTTTACTAAAACAAGAAGAAAAAAAACAGACTTGTTTCCAAGTAAACTGTGAAGCTTGATGATAAGTTGATCTTCATCTTCACTGAAATTCCCTCTCTTAAGATCAGGTCTCAGGTAGTTCATCCATCTTAACCTGCAACTTTTACCACACCTAAGCAGCCCTGGAAGCATTCGACAAACCGAACTAAGGAAAAAGGGAAAAAAGATGTTAAAAAAAGGGGAAAAGGTTAACATACCGGCAGCTTTGGGTAGGGAACGCCAAGAACCTTCGCCATGGACACGGATATAATGAATGAGGCGGTCGTCTTCTTCCTTGGTCCACGCGCCTTTGTTGGTATGTGATTTCTCGCAACAGGGTAATCGTCCCATGAAAACCAGATCCTTTTGTGATCCTGCAACAACAAGTGGTAGGGTCGAATGGGAGGAGCTTGGTTAAGGGAAATGGATAAGTTTGAGTTTAAATAAACATGGATGAGGGACGGGTGTTTTGGTGAGACGATGGTTTATCTGAGACTAATGTGGAAGATATTATATTTGGGGGGTTTTGTTGATGGAACAAGGATGGCCATGGGATTTGACCGAAGTTGGTAAGAAACCCGAACTGATTTGTTAAAGATAGAGTGGGGTTTCGTAGGTAGCTCCGCTTTTACGTCAGAATTCATGTTACTTTACCCTCTTTTTTTTCTTCCTTTTTTTCTTTTTTGGATTTTATTTTACACAACTATATTAAGGGAGTAAATCTCTATTCGGTTTAAAAAATTAAAATTTTTAATTTGATTTGAAAAAACTTACTCATTTTAATTCGAATCTTAATTTTATAAATACAACTTGATTTGATTTGAAAAAAATTTAATTTTAAATCAAATTATAAAATAAAACTCAAATAAGTTAATTTTTTTTAATAATAAATAGATTGATTTTTAAATTTGAGTCTAATTTTTAACTCTACATTATATGTATATTATACATGAAAAAATATAAATATATATATATTGCTATTGAAAACGTTTAAATTAGAAATATTATCATAATATTATAAATATTTATAATTAAATTTTTAAAAAATTTAAATAATTCAACTGATAATTTTTTAAAAAAATAAAATTAATCAACTCAAATAATTTAAATTTTTTTAACCCTGCTCGATTGATCGAAAAACCATTCCTAACCCAAACCAGTCATTATCGGCAGCGTGTTACAGTTTCTGTTGGCTCTTTGTTTATTTTCTGATGCCTAATTCTTACCTGCAATCTTCTGTTGCCTTTTTAACTCCTCGTCACTGTATATCTAAAACATTTTAATATTTCAAGTTTAGAAGTCATAAATTTTCATCATCAAATTTATGATTAATTATACGATTGATCACTTATATTTTCGTTTATTCATTTTTTCTTAGTGATTTTTAAAGAACATAATATATAGTCATTTTCGTTTTTATTTAATTAAGATGTATTTATCATAAATTAATCGCCGTTAACAATTAAATATTTTGATATAATCACACAATTGATCTCTGTTATTTATATATTCTCTCAATTTAGTCATACTTTTAATAAGTTAAAATAAATTTAATCATAATTTTAAATGAAGTTAATAATAAAATTTATTTAATAAGTTAATATAATATAATACTTCTTAAAGTTGATACATATAAAATATTATGAATTTAAGCTAAGTATTTATACACTAATATACAAAATATATACATCATGTTGTCTATTGTAGACCAAGCATTGATCTTGACTTAATGAGTACATGCTTAGTTTTTCAAGAGACTTAGGTTTGAATTCCCTATGCCCCAATTTGCTTTGCTTTGTTTTCTTTTAATAAGAGGGTGACACATGATATCATTCGATTGAATGATTAAATTTATTAAAAATATGACTAAATTGAGAGAATATGTAAATAACAAGGACCAAACATGTGATTATACTAAAATATCACGTCACCTAATATGTTAATTGTTAACTACAGTTAAACTGTAGTGACCACATCATAATTAAATAAAAACGAAAGTGACCACATCTTAATTAAATAAAAACAAAAATAACCATATATTATGTTTTTTTGAAACCAATGAAGAAAAGTGAACAAAACACAAAATAAGTGATCAATCATGTATTTAACCTTAAATTTTATTATAAATTCAAAATTTTAGTAACCATTTTTTTACTAAAAAATATTAATATTTAAATATATTCAAGAGTTAATTACATCACGCATCCTCGAAATGTAACCCTCATTCTAAATTAATTTCTAAACTTTTAAGTGTTCTAATTTCATTTCCCAAACTATGACTCTTATTCTAAATTAGTCTTCAAACATTTAAATATTCAAAATTTCCCCCAAATTATGATACTCATTTGGAATTGTCCCGAACTTATAAATATTTCAATCTCATCTCAACCTATTGATATTTGCTAATCATATCTCCTATTAATAAAATCTTTAGGCTAAACTCTATTATTATATGTTTGAAAAAAAATAGATTACACTATGGTTGGAAACAATTACTCATTTGGATCAATTTGGGGACGTAATTGGAATATTCAAAAGTTTGATGACCAATTTAGAATGAAGATCATAGTTTGAGAATGAAATTAGAATATTCAAAAATTTGAATATTAATTTAAAATAAGTCATAATTTGTGGAGAAATTAAAAAAATAAAAGTTTAAAAACCAATTAAAAATCAACCTTATAGTTTGAGAACATATAATGCAATTAGCTCTATATTTCTATATTGTCAACAAAATCGATCAGATAAATTATTTTAATGTTAACTAAATGCGTCTTTGTACTTTCTTTTTAGGCAAGTTACTCAAATGGTCATAGAACTTTTAGAATACTTTTATTTTAGTCATCGAAATATTCTTGCAATTTCATTGTTAATAAAATTATTATTTTAATCACTTAAAAATTAATTCCCCTAACGATTCTAGCATAATTTTGAGCAAATACTTTGATGTGTTATCTTCAACCTCTATTCACCTTGAAATTTTGTCCTCACTTGAAACACAACCCTCTTTAAATAATTTTGAAGTATTGGTATAAATTTTGAATGAACTAAATTTAAATGTATGATTGATTTAACAAATAACGGGAGAAATATACTTTGTAGTCATCATATAGGATCTAAGTGGTAACAAAGGAGCTAAGTTAACGATCTCTCGATGTAAGCAGGTCTCTTTCTTTTAACGCAAGTGTTAATTAAATGAAATTATAATCATTCAAAGAAAAGGAAGTAAATGTAGGATAGGTATTATATATACAAATATTTGTACACTAATAATTTATAATTAAATTTAAAGATACTGATTTGAGTTAAATTATAAAGATGCTGATTTGAATTTGATTTAAAACAAACCAGATGTAATCTCAAACTCTACACAGGCCTTTTTATATCATTCAAGGAGTAAATAACATTTTTTAAAAAAATATTTTAAAACTTTGAAATTTTTGTTTTTGAATCTATAATAGAGTTTTTTATTTTTCCTCTACAATTTTTAAATATATAATATAATATGTTTTAAGGGTTCTTTTTAGTTTCAAAGAACCCTTAAAACACCAAATATAAATTACTCATAACTATTGAAAGGAAATAAATACCATCTATAAATGGGGAGACAGAGTAGCAGAAATTGTTAATTGTCATGATATAACGTTCTGTACACAGAACAAAGGAGAAAACTGGATTCAGTTTAATTCCCCCTTGATCTCGAGGCTTGAACAAGTAATGCAGCTATCATTCTTTAGCTTTTCACGTACCAAAAAAGAAGTTAACAGCTTGTGTCACTCGGCATCTGCATCAGACCATTTTAGCGTTTAGCACCCTAAAACGAAAAAAAAAAATTGCAGCAGCAGATTGACTCACTGCACAAGCAAAAAGACCTCTTAATTTGCCAAGGAATCTCAATTCAACATGTAATTACGAACTTCAGAGCGTGTCAACTCGATCGATGACATCCAATGCCTTCATCCAGTCAATATCGAAGTTAATAAAAGGAACTGAAGATAGCCTCCGAATAGGGAAGGAATCTTTCTTAGTTTCAATTGTTGGAGTATGGCTACTGCTTTTACTTAACCTATGGTTCTTGCTTAACCTAGTTTTTGCAGTGTCGAATTCCTGGCTCTTACTTATTCCAGGTGTATTTTTTCTCTTACTGACATCTCGAAGCATCTCTTGATCTTCTACAGTCAACATTGGCGATGCAGGCTTCTGCGTAGATAGTTGAACCATCTTCTGATTAGGGGACCGAATTGGAGACTTGACGGGTGACCTGATTCCACCATTGCAAGCCCTCACTTGGATAACAAGATGATGAAGCCACACTACCAGATCAAGAATATAAACTTCGGTTTTCTCCTTGTCTGCATGGTGCAGTGTTTCAATCCTGAGCAAGCCCTTTTGGCCAGCAGGTTTATGATTCACTTCAGACCTGAAAATTTTGATCATAAAAAGTGAGCAACAAAAAGCATTGGAACCAAGGAAAGAAAAAGTATACACAGAACTTACCCAGTATTTGCCCATTCTCCAACCCAGCCAAACCCATGATGAGCTCTAGTTGAAACAAATTGGTACAATAGACACAAGGATGAGTAATTGGTACATAAACTTAGAAGAAGAGTCAAATGGCTTTAATTCTGAAAACTGGAGAAAAGGAATTCCACCCATTCCTTTTGAACAGAAACCACAAAAATAAGGTACAGTAAGATGCTTACTTGGTTGTGTTAGTGGCAACGGGAACTAGCCACTGCAATGTTTTTTCCATTTCCGCTTTGATTTGTGGGACAGTTAGCTGAAAAGAAATTCGAGAATTTGCAATTCGGTGCATATTAGGAGTAAATATTTCCAACAGGCAACAGGGTAATAGCATCTTCAATATTACGAAGAGTAGATGAGCAAGTAGGTAAGCTATATTGCCAGCATCAAGATTATGCAAATTTGTACCTCTTCTTTTATCTGAAATGTCTGCAGTCTAAACCGCAAAGCAGACTTTACAGTAGGCGGTAGTCCTTGGTATAATGAATCCCTTGTATTAGGGGGCACCGAACTTGATCGAGAAACCTGTGTACATTAAACAACTAACTTATCAAACACCCCTGTTTTTACTGAATAAAAACATAAACACGCCTCAAAAGTTTCCCCAGCCTACAACATTTTATCATAAACTTTTAGACCTGTGATTATTGGCATGTCCATGAGCATAAACTACATGCTTATATAGCATATAATTTCTTTAAGTACCACAGGAAAATCGTATGAAACTGTTTTTTTATATAAAATAGGAGGCCTCGTTAAAAACCACTTCGTAACCTTCAAATTACCGGAGTAGCTTAATGGACATTGGAAGGAGGAAAAGAGTGCCTCAAAATTTTATTTATATAATACTAACTACTAAGTACAAACAAACAATAACAGTCATAATACACCTCAAACCAAAACTGAACAAAACATACAAACCCACACTTAAACAACCAGCATAACACCCAGAACCTAACATGATCACCCAGACCCGAAAACACAGGAATCACCCAATTCCTACTTTAGCCAACCCATCCGCCTCCCAATTGGCGGATCTCAAAATATGCCTATCGGTAACATCTGTTCTACCACTAAAGAAGCAATATCCTTCACCAATGGCTCGAACAACAGAGTGCAGCAACCCGGATTTTTGATCCACTCCAAAGCAGTTGAACAGTCCGATTCTAGAATAAGCCTTCCCCTTGAATCAAAACCGGACTCCACAAATAAAAGCAGACCCCTTTTAATAGCCAATAATTCAGCAAGAATAGGAGGCCCAGGATCAACATTCTCTGAGAATGAACACAGTAGCATACAGTCACTGTCCTTGAGCAAACCACCAATACTTCCTCTTGACCACCCCTTAACCATAGCACCATCCATGTTGACTTTGAAGAAGCCGAAGGAGGAGGAACCCAGCGCGCCAAGGAAAAACTGACCTTCTTAGAACTCAGCAGAATCTGCTACTTTTGGATCGCCCACTAAAGTGTCAAAAGGAATTACCAAGTCCAAAAATCTAACAACAAACCATGCTGCAATCCTATATCTTACAAGAAAAAATAACAACATTGAGTCCAACTTTCCTTTCTAAAAAATAATCTCATTCCTACACTTCCAAACCAACCACATTACCACCCCTTGAATGAAAGTCCAAATAGTCGAGCGCGGAACTAGATCTAACCAAATAGAGATCAAAGCAGTCGGACTCTCCGGAACAACAAAGGAAACGTTCCAAAAGTGCAAAAATCTAGACCATAAGCCCAAACCACATCACAATGCACAAATAAGTGAGAAACAGACTCCGAAAACCTGCCACACAACAGACAAAGTGGATCCAAGATCCCTACGACTCCACGCTTCAACTCCTCATTAACCGCTAATCTTTGATGAACGACCTGCCATACGAAAGTTTCTACTCAAGGCGGGGCTACCCCTAACCAAACGTGTCTGACCCAAATAGGATTAACAACCGACGTCTCAAAAATTTCCTAATACACGACTTCGCTGAAAAACAGCCCTCTTCATTCCTTGTCCAAACCCAGCAGTCCTCCGCCAAAGGCGACAAAAGTTACTCAGCATCGAATTAAGCACGAACCATTGGTCCAACTCCCAATCGACAAGGTTCCTTCTCATTTGTAAGTCCCAAAACTATCTCGACGAAGTATTTTTCTTGAAATCAGCAACTCTGCCCCCTTTGTTAACCGAGTGAGCGAATAACATCGGAAACCGATCTTTTAATGGAATCGAATCCAACCAAATGTCATGCCAAAACAAAACAAACTCTCCATTACCGACTCTTAATTGCATTTTTTTTATATAAAAGTAGTAGGTCTCATTAAAAACCCCCTTCATAATTTACCCATTCCAATAGGAAAAGGTCAATCAACGGAAGGAGGAAAAGAGTACCTCATTTTATTGATAATTCATGGATACAATAGAAAACCTTTACAAAACAACAGAAAAGGTTGTCCTCAAAAGAAGCAGGAACAACCTGTTAAAACAACCTACAATCAACCAATCCCTTCCTTAGCTAACTTATCAGCCTCCCAATTACAACCCCTGGGAATCAACTTCAGTAACAAACCCCTATACAATACATAAGACTCAATTTCCTTAATAAAATTACTAAAGAACACAGGGGTGAGACTAGGAGACTGGACCCATTCCACAACATTTTTGCAATCACTTTCCAGAATTAATCTGCCTTTTGTAGCCAATATAGAGGAATAAAAAATATCAGCAGCTTTTCTAATAGCCTTCAACTCTGCTAATGGGGAAAGACCAGGTCCGACTCTCTCTGAAAACGACGTTAGGACGAAGCCATTAGAATTTTTAAGGATACCCCCAATGCCACCAGCCAACCCATTGCTTCTCACAGCACCATCGACATTAAACTTATAGAAATCAATAGGGGGAGGGAGCCATTTATGAACAATCCTATTCAGAGCCTTTAAACACTTGAGACGACCTGCTAACGAAGGATCAGCAATTAGCGAATCCACTGAAATCGACACTTGATGAAACTTGGCTAATCTAAATCTGACAATAAAGAAAAGGGAAGTCCTATCCAGAACCTTATTCTCGAAAACAATAGAATTCCTATATTTCCATATCGACCAAAGTACCATACCTGGAATAAAATTCCAGATCACTGAATTCGCCACCAAATCGAACCACGAACTAATTAGGGAAGGAATATCCCGAGGCAAAGCTGCAAATACATCCCAAAGTCAGAAAAACTTGGTCCAAACCTCACCAGCCACTGGGCAAAAAATAAACAAATGCTAGACAGTTTCTTCGTTTAACATACACATCGGACAAAGTTCCCCATCTAATAAGGGGACCCCCTGTTCTTCAGCTGTGACTTAACTGCCAACTTTTGGTGAGTAGCTTGCCAAAAAAAGTTTCAATTCTAGGAGCCACCAACCCCAACCATACACAATTCTTCCAATAGGATTCACCACTTGATCTTTAACAACAGTCCTACATGATTTGACAGAAAACAACCCATCGCCTTTCCCTGTCCATGATAAAAAATCATCCACTGCCTCTGTCATCTGAATGTTGTTCAAATTTGATCATTAATTCCAGCCATTGTTCCAACTCCCAATCACATAAATTTCTTCTTGTACGAATATCCCAATTCTAGGCATTAGAATCATAACTTCCAAAATCTATTACCTTTCCCAATTTATTTTGGGACAATGTAAAGATTCTCGGAAACTGAATTTTCAAAGGTATATTATCAACCCATACGTCATTCCAAAAATGAAATTGATTTGCCATTTCCCACTTGGAATCTAGAATGTGATCTTAACCTCTCGCCAATCGAATTATTCTTCAAAAAGCTTTTAACAATTCCTTTCCAAATCCAAGAATCTTGGGTAGAGTACACCCTACTAACCGTCATAGACGTACTATCAATGTTATGTTTGCAGCAAATCAAATCCTTCCACAATGTGTCCTTCTCGTTAGCAAACTTCCAAATCCATTTCCCTAGCAAAGCCCGATTAGTAAGATTTAAATCTAATACCCCCAAACCTCCTTTTTCAATCGGACGACACACTGTTTGCCAATTCACCCAATGGATACGCTTCTTCTCTTTTTACATTTAGCCGGGTCTTACGTTTCTGTCTATATGCAGAAATTTTTACGCACAGATTTATTAGCAAAGACTACTTCTCATTACAAACGCGCATATGAAGATTGTTCAACTATATATTTATTTATTTATGCATGCATTGCATTTTATCTTTATTTTTAATTTTTCTGACTGCCGAAGGTCTTCCACGGAAGCTGCTCTCAACCTGGCGTTGGGGGCAACCTACTACCCTACCTCCCCCTTACCCCATTTCATATGGGAATAGGGTTTTGTTGTTGTTGTTGTTGTTGATACACTTCTTCTCTGAACCATCCCCCCACAAAACCAACCATCAACGAATTCAATTTCTGACTAACTTTATTCGACAATTTGAAGACGGATAGAAAAAATATCGGAAGAGATGACATAACTGATTTCAATAGCACCAATCTACCAACCAAGGATAATGTAGAAGCTTTCCAACCTGCCAATTTTTTGTTAAACCTCTGTATAACCGGTTCCCACAAAACTTCTGAATTCTTCTTCGTTCCTAACGGTAATCCTAGATATACCGTCAGGAATGAACCCACAGAGCAACCTATGGAAGAGGCCCAATCTTTTAGGATAACTTCTTCACTATTGATCCCATATAAATAACTTTTCAAAAGATTTAGATTGAGCCCAACCATAAAGCTGAAAATTCTCAAGACTCTTCACATTTCTGATTTGCCCGAGGGAAGCGCGACAAAAGATTATTAAATCGTTTGCGAATTGAAGATGCGATAACTGGAAAGAATTAACTGGCCCTCCAACAGTGAAACCATAGAAAAGGCCCATATTCACCGCTTTAGTCAACATCAAATGAAGTAACTCTCCAACCAGATTAAACAGGATTGGAGAGAGGCTGCATCCTTGTCATAAACCTTTTGACATTGGAATCTCCTCTTTGGGAGTACCATTCAGCAGAACAGAAACCGATGCAGAAAATAAACAATATGAGATCCACGAACACCATCTCTCACCAAATCCCATCTCCTTCATGATTCTAAGAAGGATTGGCCATTCAACTGTCGTAAGCTCTGCGGAAATCTGCTTTAAAAACAACACCTTTCAGCCCTTTTTTCCTCCAAAAATCTATAGCCTCATTAGCAATAAATGCGCAATCCAACAACTGTCTTCCTAGAATGAAGGCGAACTGAGACGAGCTGACAATGTCTTCAACGAACGATATGTCTCTTGGATAATACTTTAGATAAAATTTTATACATACTTTCAACAAGACTGATGGGCCTGTAGTCTTTGAAACACACTGGAATACTGGATTTATTTTCTTCGGAATTAAGGTAACGAATACGTGATTGACACCGTGCTCCCATTTCTTTTTCTGGTAAATCACTAAAGAACTTCATCACCGAATCCTTCAAACTAGGCCAGCACTTCTTAAAAAAACCCAAAGTGAGCC